TTATATTACACCTTTATCCTAATACTGGAACCCAATGCCGGTCACAACATCATGAAAAGTCAGATACAACAAAAATAGAATGGCTGGAATCCTGTTGGCTGCTAAGCCAGTAGACACACTTTTTCCAGGGTCACACAGTAGTGGCAAAGGAAAGCAAACAAAAGGAGAACTTTTACATATATTCTTCAGCATTTCCTAAAATGTTTTACCATTTGGTACTTTTACTGGAACACACTATGGCTTTTTGTGGCATTTAGTATGTATGGACTAATTTGAGCATTCAGTGGACTAGGTTTTTTTTAATAAAATAAATAAATCCATTTTCCTGTATAGCTGATTTATTTAGCCCTACATAGACTGCCTGTGGGCTACATAGTACATATGCCCTAATGAAACAGCCAAATCAAATTGTAAATGGGCATAGTGCCATGATAACAGATGGATATGAACATTTGCCGCTAAAAGAGCATGTCAGATATGTCTGTTAGGGCAAGATCCCCTGCCCAGATAATCTAGTCTTATCTAATCTATCTATCTCACTGTTCTATATCTCTGGTGATTGAACATATCCATGAATAAGGGACATGTTGTTAACAAGTAATTTAAAAGCTGGATTAGTTGTTGTGCAGAAAATGATCTATTTTGGATCATGAAGAAATCATTTGTATTGTAGTAAGGTGACGTAGGTACTAGGATCCCATGTAATTTCCTGGGCTGCAAGATATTTTCTTAAGGTATGTAACGTAAATGACTTAGTAGGGTTTGATGAGTGCTTTCATGGGAGACCTCTTTGTATATGAAGATGAAATAGTCAACAATTTACACACCTAGTGTATAGTCACTTGCGAGATTGTTTTGTAGTCAACATGCTGTCAAAATCTGGCAAGAGGTAAATTAGAACAAGGGAAACTTAACAATTGTAAACAGAACAATTTTCACCAGAAAGCTCAACCAGTTGCATGATTCTGTGTATGGCATGAAAAATAAAACTTGCAGCTGGAACTGAAAATTGTATTAACAGTGGTGCACACACACACACACACACACACTTATTTTTATTATGTAAATTGATTTTGTTGCATATGACATATCCTACAACCATAAGCCTGTTGAGATCTTAGTGCTCCAAGCCCAAGAAGAGAAGGGGAAAAGGTACATTAGCATCTCTTTTTGTATCTGTGTTTGCTTTTTCCTCCCAGTCGCTCTTCAGTTTTGTGATGTTTTGGCAGGACTTTGCTAGACATTTTTATTTTTGCTTAAATACTGGAGAAGAACTACAGCCCTGCATTTGTCTGATTTAGTAATATGTATATGGCTTTTTTTTTCCTTCCTCCTTTTGCGACTTAACACAATGTATGAGTTTGGCAGGCAATATATGAATAATATGCTTCAAACTTCATTCACTAAATGGTTTAATACATTTGCCTAAGATAGTTTTCAATATCCAGTTTTATTACACTATATGGATTTCAGTGAGATAATACTTTGAATATGTGGCAGAAGGGCAGGAGGCATAACTTAGTAGTATACCCTGTGTTTGGCATGCAGCTGGATTTCTCCAGTTGAAAATGTAGTTCTATATGTCCATAAACCTCTACCATAAGGTGGGAGAGCAGAGCTTTTGCCAGCACAAAGTCTTATATTCTCCAGTTAAATAGGGATCAAGTAGCAGTGTTGGAGGCTAGACTCCTATTTTTTTTTAAAAAAAAAATGTTTTCATTACAATCAAAACAGCTATAACAATAACATCAACAAAACCAATGACACAATACAAACAAGTACACTACATTTCTATATTCCTAAGATAAACATCTAGCAATAACAAATCACACTAAGCTACAACTCTAACTACCTAAAACGAACTACTAAAAACAAACAAAATGAAATATTTAACAAACACGGGGATTTCTTCTTTCTATTCACTTAAAAATGAATACCTATAATATTATAATGTTATATCATACTTCAAATACAAAGCTTAACATAAAACTATAAACCCCTACTTTATAACACATTGCTTATTTAACGCCTTACTACTATCTCATATTTCAAAAGAAACACTTTAAATAAATCTATAATCCTCTACCTCTATGTTATAAAAAATATTTGCTACTTAAATTCCCTAATCATCTCAGATCACTGCTTCTTTTCCATGTAGTCTATTACCCGCTTTCACTCTTTCTTGAAATCATCTAATATTTTTCATGCATTAAGGTAATCAACTTACATATTTCTACAAATTCATGTAACTTTAACAACTAGTCTACTTGGGATCAAATCTTTGTCTCTTTCCATGTCTGAGCATAGATAATTCTCTCAGTTGTTGTCATATACCACATAACTCTTCCATGCTTTCTCTTCAACTGTTCATCTAGGATTCCTAATAAAAATAGCTTCACTTGAAATTTTATCTTCAGAATATCTTCATCATATGAATCTGAGCCCTTTTTTAACAATCCTATTCACTTTAGCTCCATATGATAAAAAGTTCCTTTTTCCTTCTCACATTTCCAACATTAATTTAAAGAACCCTTATACATGTTAGAAGTTATTTCTCGAGATAGATACCAGTGGTACATCATCTTATAAAAATTTTCTTTAAGATTGTAACTTAAAGCAAACATAAAGCCCTTAGTCCACATCTTCTCCCATTGTTCCATTTGCATATTGTAAGCCAAATGTTGTGCCCATTTAACCATACATTATTTTACTGGTTCATCCTCCATCTCTATTTTCAATCACAATTTATGCATTGTAGATATTAACTTATCATCATTTGAGCACACCTTTTCAAAGTCAGGATTTGCTACCTCAAAACTTAATGTTTTAATATCCATTCTGTATCTTTCTCTCAATTGTCTATTTACAAAAATAACTAGAGTAGATGCTCCACCCTGGCCTAAGTAAACTACTATAGGCAGAGGAAGAAAAGTCTGGAGGTGCATAGACTACAAAGGAAGTAAGTCACTGACAAAATAGGTTGCTTGAAGCTGGCACCTTGTATCTGCATTCCCTTGCAGCTGCTATGTGACCCTGGGAGAAAATGCAACTATTAACATAGTGCATCAAGAGGAGTTCAGTTGGAACGGATGCCCTGTTTCAGTCAGAAAAGATTATGGGTGGGCAACTTTTAAATCCTTCCATGTTTTTAAAGCTGTTTTTATTTGGTTTTGATTAACATCTTCATCTATTTTTATACATCGCCCTACTAGGCTGAAAGTGGATGAATGGGCAGAGAGACAGCAGGTTCGCTCAGTATATCCAAGGACCAGTCTCCCCAACCAGCCATACATTGAATTCTTTCCAAAACTTGCTTCTTAAACTTTTTATTTAAAAAGAAGCAACTTGAAGTTCACTGCAATGGCAGCCATAATGTGTAAAGACGTATTCTTGGATACCAAAGTCAGGATTGTCCACATCATTGCATTTCTGTTTCATATGTATGGTTGTAAAAGCTGGGCAGTGAAGAAAGGTGATAGGAAGAGAACTGAATCATTTGAAATGTGGTGTTGGAGGAGAGTCCATAGATAGCATGGAGTACCAAAAAGACAAATAAATGGGTCCTAGAACAAATCAAGCCTGAAATCTATCTAAAACCAAGATGACTAAACTGAGACTAATATTATTGACATATCATGAAAAGATGGGACTCATTTTTTAAAAAAAAAAACCAATAATGATAAGGTAGAAGGCAGTAAGGTAGTAAGGCAGTAGGAAAAGATGAAGAGCACATAACGAGTGAATAGTTTTGGTCAAGGAAACAACATCCATAAGTTTGCAAGACCTGCGCAGGGCTGTCAATAACAGGGTGACATGGAGGTCTCTCATGCATAGGGTCACCATAAGTTGAAGCTGATTTGACAACAACTCACACCAACAACAAAGAAGTTCACTTTTGATAAAGCTGCATGCCTTGCTTTAGATATCAGAGAAATGTTGAAGAACAGAAATTCAGCAGGAAAATTTCAAAATGCAATAGGTGCAAATACCAAAAAAAAATGACCAGGTTTGCATGCAGATCACAGGCCACATGATGGCCACCTCTGGAGTACATGGTAGTGAGCTGGATGAACAAATAATCTGATCTAGGACTATTTCACACTATATTGTTATAGCGATGATTCCACTTGAACTGCCAAAATGCCAACCTATGGTCTGCAGTGTAGGAAGGGGAAGTTAGAATTGTCTCCCAGAGTGTTCTAGTGCCTTACCAAAACTACAGATTCCAGGATTCCAGAGATGAAGTCATGGCAGTTAAAGTGAAATCATAGTGCTATAACTGTGTTGTATGAATGGTGTATGGCTCTGCCATACATCTGTTTCCTCTTAATAGATGGAACAGAGAACACATTTTGCAAGTAGAAAGTCCTATAAGGTTCAGTTCCTGGCCTCTCCAGATAGCTGGGATGTGGAAAACCTTTTCTTGAAAACCAAGGGAGATACTACCAACCACAGTAAAACAACTTTCCTCAACCTAAAGGTGCTGGCCAACAATCCCCATCTCCCCTCATATGCATGGCCTATGCTGAATGGGGATGATGGAAATTTTAGCTCAATCTATTTGGGATACATTCTGTTGAGAAATACTAGAACAGAGGATAAAGGGTCACATGGACAAATAGGTGGAGTTAGGATGTCTTAAATCCTATATATATATATATATATATATATATATATATATATACACACACATATATGAATACATATGAATCTATGTAAATATACGCAGTCCTCTTACAGACTTATGAAACTGACATGATATTTGTGATGGCAATTCCATATTTAAATAATCTAATTTGTTGTTGTTGTTGTTGTTGTTGTTGTTGTTGTTGTTGTTTGTTGTTGTTGTTGTGTGCCTTCAAGTTGTTCCTGACTTATGGAATCATAAGGTGAACCTATCATAGGCTTTTCTTGGCAAGATTTGTTCAGAGGAGGTTTGCCATCACCTTCTCCTGAGGCTGAGAGAGTGTTGCTTGCCCAAGGTCACCCTGTAGGTTTCATGGTCAAGCTGGGAATCGAACCCTGATCTCCAGAGTCACAGTCCAACACTCAAAAAGCACTAGGCCACACAGGCTCTCTCAAATAATCTAATAAGAAGAATAAATCAGAGTCTGAGAATCTTACTTATTTGGACTGCAGCTCCAAAAATCTACCCAGCCAACATGACCCTCAGCCTATATCAACTGTATAGATTCTATTTTTTAATAGGATGTAAACATATGTGTGTGTTACATAAGCATTTTTTTTTTAACGCATTGGAGTTCTTACATTTTGTCATTGTCAGTTACTCCCGGAAAAGCAGATCCCTATGTAACCAACTTCTATCTTCCCTTCAGACAGCTTTAATGCAGAAAGATATGCTTAAAGAGTAATTAATTATAGTTTGTGAGGCCTCAGACTAATTAGTTACTATTATGGCTCCAATTTTAAAAGAGTAACTGTTTACTTTCTTTTTATTCAGATAGAACTGAACTTTGTTACCTTTTAGTTACTTTTTAAAAATTCAGAATATGACTAATTCCTGGCCCTTGGTACAATCACACAGAAATAATGAAGCTACATATAATCTGCAACTATACAAATAACTAAATGCCAATTGCAGTTAAACCAGAAAAGAGAGAGGTGGTTCCTTGTGATTTTACAGTTGCAATGCAACTTGGTTCTGCCTTAATTATTGTTTTTTTAAAAAAATTAATTATAAGTAACATGTTGACCTAAATGGAATTGCTGAACCGAACTAGCATGGATTAATTGAATCAAACTCTACTTTTTCATTGAGTGTTGACACACCGCACCATTCAGCAATTGTTTTAATGGGCCTACTCTAGTTGGGAACAGCAATTGGATTTACATTGCAACTTCTGCTTTCTTCTGTATCATCACTCAATCTTAGAACTAGAAAGGATCTTCAAGGCCATCTAATCTAACTCACTGCTCAGTGCAGGAATTTGGCATCTACAGACTTCCAAAAGATGTCCATCCAATCTCCATTTGAATACATGCTAGAGAAGAGAGTCTAGCATTTCAGAAGAATTTACTTCACTAACTTTGCCTGTTAAAAAACACTTAAGAGGTATATAGTGCAATTGTGTGATCTAAAAGATACCCAGACTCCAGCAGCTATTCTACTTGCACTAGGTTAAAAATACCAGGAAGAATATTATGCAGAATATAGTTCTTAAATGTCACCAGGTAATAAACATGCAAAAGGAACTTCTTATTAAACACGCATCACTAGCATTTTAAAAGCCAGACCTATTAAGGACTCCCTTGGATCTTGGTAAGGTCAAGTGAGGGAACCAGCCTTTTTTGTAATGGGGTGTTGATTAATTCCTAAACTGGAGAGCATAAAAATGTCATTAGAGTCTACGGGAGCAAACGGATAGCTAGTAGGACTTCTTGATTGGGAAAATTAGTGATGGTTTTGAGGAGGGAGAGGGAATTTGGCAGTGCTTAATTCCCAAAATGAAAAATTGTGGATTGAAGCGTGCCTTGAATGTACACCATTTCAGCATAGAAACAAAGCAAATGAAAAGAGTCTTTATTGATGCATATACTTGATGGATTAAGCTTGATTTCATTAGATGCATAACGGGTTGTTTTCTGGTGGCAGACATATGCACACATATATATGCATGACAGCCAATGGTTAGAGTGTTGGACTGGGACTTCCAAAGTCCACATTTGAATCTCTGCTGACCTATGAAACTTGCAGTGTTTTTGTGTCAAACAGTCACTCCCTTTCAGGCTGACCTACTTTATTGAGGCTCATCTGCACTCCAGCAATAATCCAGGTTGAAACCACTTTAATTGTGTGGCTCCATGCTATGGAATTCTGGGAACTGTAGTTTGTTGTGGCATCAGAGTGCTCTGACAGAGAAGGCTGAATGTCTCACAAAACTACAAATCCCAGAATTCCATAGCACTGAGCCATGGCAGAAAGTGGTGTCAACTTGGATTGTTATGGATGCAGCCTGAGGTGTTATGATGACAAAATGGAAGGAGTGACATGTATGGCACCTTCAGTACATTGAAGGAAATGCAGGATATGAATGAAATGAGTAGTGTCCTCATGTGACAGATATACATACATGCATATCATATAAAGTAAAGGTAAATATCATATATTATATCTGCATCATATACAGAGAGGCAAAGACAGGAAGACAAGAGGAGGAAACATCAATGATGCATCAAGGATTATGTATTGTTTAAGACAACAGAAGGGGCTGAAGGGGCTGTTGAGCTTGTGTACTGCCTGTTGGTTTGTGTATTTATTTGTTTGTTTGTTTTTAAAACCTGCACATGGTAGCTCTCAGGATGACGTAAATTAAAAAAAACAAATAAAATCCATACAAGTAAAATCAAAATAACACAATAAAGTAAGCAGTTTAAAATAAGTAGTGAAGATCAATTAAAAAGGAGCAAGAGATTCAAACAAGTGTCACAAGAAATTCTGAAAAATATCTTGGAGATTTCAATGCTTTAAAAAACAATTTGTTGTTGTTTGCCATTAAGTCATCTTCAATTTATGGCAACCCTATGAATGATGGACCTCCAAGATCCCTGGTCAATTGCTGCCCTTCTCAGGTCTTGCAAACTCAGGGCCATGGCTTCCTTGACTGAGTCAATCCATGTCTAATGCAGTCTCCCTCTTTTCCTGTCTTCCATTTTACTAGCACCATCCTCTTTTCCAGTGAGTCAAATCATCTCATACGTCCAAAGGATGTCAGCCTCAGTTGAGCCATCTTCTTTTCTAGTGAGAGTTTGGGGTTGATATGCTCTATCATCCATTCATTTGTCTTTTTAGAAGTCCATGGAATCCATAAAGCTCTCGTCCAGCATCACATTTCAAATAACTTGACTTTCTTCCGGTCAGCTTTTTTTACTACCCAACTTCCACAACCATACATAGAAACTGAAATAGAGCAGCAAAAGTGCATAAGTATGAAAAGGCTGAGAGAGTAAAACAGTCATTTTCCTTGGCACACCAAAGTTAGTGGATGGGAGCTGAGTGGGTCTCTCTCAGGAAAGTTTTCCACAGTGGTGACTGTGGTTTTCCATGTCATCAGGACAATGAATCTGCTCCAGCATTTAGTCTGAACTAAGCTGCTAAACCCTGCTTCCAAAATAGATTCAGAACCTTGGATAGTTTCTTTAATATCTTGCATTACTGGGGGGCTACTTCTGACATTCCTTCTTTTAAAAGAACCTGAGATGATGCCACTCATCCACAAACCACTCCCAACTAAGAATCTCCTATACCAGGTGAGGGCACTCAGAGCAGAACCTTCCTCAGCTACGGGCATTTAGTTGGCCACATTGGGGATAAAATGACAAACTAGATTGTTGTTCTGTGCCTTCAAGTTATTTTTTATTTATCTATCATGTGGTTTTCTTGGCGAGGTTTGTTCAAAGGAGGCTTGCCATTTCCTTCTTGGGAGGCTGGCAGAGTGTGACCTGCCCAATGTCTCCCAATGAGTTTTCATGGCTGAGTAGGGATTCAAACCCAACACTCAAACCACTACACCATGCTGGCTCCCATGCCAAATTAGACAGGCCTAGATAAATCCAACACAGCCCTTGTTATGCTCACATTGGAAGTATTATGTTCACACTTGAATACTCCTCAAGGGTGATCCTAATTCATTCTATTCAATGAGAAACCAAACAGTGTTTTGCTTTTTGTTTTTTGAAAAGGTATGGAAGATAGTTTCAGTTTCTTCTGAAATGAATAAAAGCTGTCTCTGAAAAAGATTTGTATAAAGACCTTAGTGGATTGTTTGAATGGTGTTTTGGTTTGATTTTTTTGTCTGAACAAAACCTTATAATATTCAAAATGTGTTGGGCAGCAAACCCACAGGGAGTTTGTCTCACATTTCATAGGTTTTGGAGCCCTTTGTTGTGACATTTATACTTGTTCTACAGAAATAGTGGAGCATGAAATCCAAGAAATGCAAAAGATATCATTCCTTCTTTCAAAACAGCTTGAGATGATGCCCCTCATTCACAAATACCCCAGCCTAATGAAGATGAAGCATGCTTAAAGCTATAGAATGTTAAATGTCACTCGGAAAAGAAAAATTAAAAGCTATGAAAGGAGAGGATAAAAAGGAGCCCTAGTGGCTCAGTGGTCAAATGCCTGTACTGCAGCCACTCACTCATAGACCATAAGGTTGCGAGTTCAATACTAGCCAGGGCTGAGGCTCGACTCAGGCCTGCATCCTTCCGAGGTCGCTAAAATGAGTACCCAGCTGTTGGGGGACAATGAGCTTACAGTTGTAAACCACTTAGACATCCCATACTGCGGTATGAAGCGGTATATAAATGAAGCTGCTTTGCTTTGCTAAAAAGAGACAGAAAAGAGTACATAGTTGACTTGAACACCTAACAGGAGTAATGCACACTGCAACAATTAGTTGTAGGCCCCACTGTTGTCTAGTACCTAATTCCAATTACTAGTCCCAATCAGTGTAGGCACAGTGAATCAATGTAACTTTCATTAATGTGGTCTTACTAACACTGAATTCAGTGTGTCTGTTCTGGTTGGGACAAACATTTGGATTTAGACCTGTGGGCTGACTCTAGGCTTCTAGTCCACTAAAGCAACTAGTGAAGTATATCTTAATATGTTAAATAATGTTTTTTTTTATGTGTTTCCAATAATAGCCAACAATTACCCTTTGGGGTATTCCAGATGTGTGTGTAGTAGTAGTTTCTAAATTTATAATGATATAGTTTGGGGAAGATTCACTGAGATCTAACCCCACCATCTAAGCAAATCCAATGGTATTAAACCTTCTCTTCTTCTTTCTTTTTCTTTCTTCCTCCTCCTCCTCCTCTTCCTTATGATTATTAATGATGGCCAGAATCTTATTGTATATTTACATATGTGTAAACATTTTAGTTATGGTGCTTTGCATCAAATCCCGTCACAGATCCTCCCAATCCCCACTTACCAAGCAGAAGCCACTGTGATCAAAGGGGATCTGTTTCCTTCCTTAGAGTAATCTCTGGTGTAAAAGGAAGAGTGGGACCATCAGCCAGCTACTTCCTGATCAGTATAGGATCAGA